CTTTGAGTTCAAGGTCAATTTTTATCTGTATGTGGAATCCCATTGATCCTGAAAGAAAACTCAGAATGGTGAAGGATTATTCTGAATAAAAGAACGATTAAGATTCCTTAAGTTAAAATGAGCATTGGGGAGAACTGTGACATCCGAAAAGTGTAAGCATTTCTTAGGTTTTGTAATAACTAAGTTTTTTCCCACAACTTCTTTTCTTTCTTTCCTCTTCCCCGCTCAAGGTTCTTAAAGATGTTTGTCCATCCATTCTGTTGCTGGCTCAGAGCTTGTTTCACTCCCTAGACCAGAGTATAATTTCGTTTGGCAGTCTTCTATACAAATATGCATTTAAGTTTTTTGACACTTACTGCCAACAGGTATGTTGAAATATTTATTTTGGCAAGGAGGGAACAGGGAAAGGGAAAATGGTCTGATGTTTATATCCTGTTGGTTAGAAGGCACTGGAGGGGAAAAATTTCTGAACTGGGGCTTGGGAATTTTCAGTTCTAGTCCCATCCTTGGTAAAATGAAGAGATTGGACTGAAGAATCTAATTCTGTGTTCCGAGCTCTAAAATTCTCCAAGTCTAAAATTAAGGTCCAGATCCAGTCTACTTCAAATAAACCTGAGCTTTAAAGAGCTGGACTTATCAGGTAGTTTCCACAGTACAGGAATGGCAGTTAAATTTAGCCGTAGAAAATCAATTTCCTGGTGATCCAGAACTGTTCTCTAGAAAAAACTATGGTGAAAAACAAATGAACGAGAAATGCTTGAAGGCCTAACCCTATTCCCATGAAGATGAGACACAAAATTTAATAGCGTGTATCCAGAGAGTGAGGACTGTACTTGTGGAAAGTGTTTATGAAAGCAAGTAAATGACAAAGTATCTTATTTTATATTTTTGTATATACTATACCTATTCTTAACAATTTTAAAACACATTTGAGTGGAACTATTACAAATTAAGATTTGTGAAAAGTTTTAAAAATTTAAAGCAGAGCAGTAGATTCAGCTGACAGGAGCTAGTTGTTGCAATTGAGAATATAATTCTGTTCTTACAGAGCAGCAGGTTAAAGGAAAGGGAGAATGGCATCTAAGTCATGTTTGAAGCTTTTTAATATCTTAGAGGCACTATCATGACCCATGTTTGCTTGGAAACGTGTGAGTCTAACCAGTACTGTATAGAGAAAACCTTTAATACCTTTAGTTCCTTGTGCGCTATCTTTTTGAGAAATTTCAACAGATTAAGTACAACCACAACTTAACGGGTAAAATTTAACCCATATGAGAAAAAGAGGAAATCTATGCCAAGGAGCAAAATCAGGAGGGCTTAGATATGCTCACTGATAAATTGTGAGACATAGATGAAGACTGGATAGTAGTGTAGTTACGTTGGCATAATTCTAAGCCTCCTGAAGCCATTATCTAGTTAATGAAAACTACATAATAGATTATGGGATCAGGTAGGTTATGATTTTAACAAAGTAGAAATTGGAAAGGCCTCAGGCATAAACCCCTTTAGAATGGCGATATCATATTTTTGCTTTACATTCTCCTATTGACTCTCCCTGGTTTAGGAAGTCGTTGGTGCCCTAGTGACCCATATCTGCAGTGGTAATGAAGCTGAAGTTGATACTGCATTGGACGCCCTTCTAGAATTGATATTACTAAACCCATCTGTTATGAGGCTGAATGCTGTCTTTGTGAAGGTATCTATTGGCTTCTTTGTTAGCATGTATCTGAGAGTTATCTGTTATCTGTTAGCAACTGTTTATTTTGTACTCTTTAGATATTGAGCTCTATAGGTGGAGGGGTGGGAAGGAGGTGAGGTGATGGGCAAGTAATATAAAAAAAGATTATCTCTCTCTGTGTTAATTCATTCAGCAAACACTTCTTTATACCTAACCATGTGCCAAGTTCTATTCTGGGTGTTGTGGATATAAAGGTCGGTCCTTGCCTTTGATGATAGAGACTAACACACATAAGTAAGTCACTATAAATACAACACAATGAATTCTCTAATAAAGATACAGTGCTACAGATACAACAGAGCAGGAATAATTAAATTTGGCCTGGAAAGCTGGAGAATTCTTCAAAGAGGAGATAACATTTAAGTGATTATTGAAGGATGGAAATGATTGATGAGAGAAAATAAGGGAAGTGCATTCTAGGCAGAGAACAGTTTAAACAGAAGCAAACTGATGCCCCAAGTCCATGGTGTGCCAGAGGGATGACAATTAGACTAGCATGGCTGGAGAATAGGATATATGGATAGGAGTGGTGGGAGGTGAGACATAGGACAGGGCCAGGTTGTGAAGGGTCTCAAATGCCATGCTAAAGAGTTTCAACTTTCTTTTATAGGCAATAGGAATCTACCTCAGGTTTTTAATAGGGAGTTGACCTAATCAACTCTGGGCTTGAGAGATGACTGAGTAGGCCTCGTGATGGGTAGAGTGGAGACCACTGAAATGGGCCAAAGAAGTTGAGAGTAAGGGCCAAATTAGGGTCATGGGAATGGAGAGGAAATGACAGTTTAAGAGATAATTTGGTGTTAGAATTAACATGACTTGATGACTGTTAAGAGTATTTAGCAGTGAGGAACAGGGAAACTGGGTCCATCTTTGGAAACTGGGTGAATAATTTTGCCGTTTCTTGAGGGCAGGAGACCAGGAGGGACTGTAGCTTCTGGAGGAAGTATGATGAGTTCAGACTGGGATGTGCACATGTGGATGCTTAGTGGGTAGTTGGAAATTCTGGCTTAGAGCCTAATGGGCACCATGTAGTGGAAGGTTTAGTTTTGGTATTCATAACCGTGGAGGTGTGAGCTCAAGGGAGGCAGATTTTGAGGCAGAAGATCACAGAAGCCTAAGAGAACACAGAAATTTTGAGAACATTAAAGAGGCAGGCTGAAGCAAATGTCTATGAAAGGAAAATGAGAAAACTAGAAGATGAGTAATGTGAAATAGATCATGTTGGGTAGCAAAAGCTTAGTAAAGAGCTTTAAGGGTGAAGGATTTGTCTACAGTGTTAGATCCTGTAGAAGATGAACATGGAAGAGAGGCTACTAGTTTTGGCAACTAGGATGACACCAGTAACCTCTGAGAGAACATTGTTAACTGAATTATTAGGGTGGAATCCAGAGAGCAGTAACTTGAAATAGACTTGAGCGTATAGATTCAATGTTGAGAAGCCTTGAGGAGGAGAAATAAGAACAGTAGCTGATGCCGGGTGTGGTGGCTCATGCCTATCCTCCTAGCACTCTGGGAGGCCGAGGGGGCAGGATCGCATGAGGTCAGGAGTTCGAGACCAGCCTGAGCAATAGCGAGACCCCATCACTACTAAAAATAGGGGAAAACAATTAACCAGGTGTGGTGGTGAGTGCCTGTAGTCTCAGCTACTCAGGAGGCTGAGGCAGGAGGATCGCTTGAGCCCAGGAGTTTGAGGTTGCTGTGAGCTAGGATGACGCCATGGCACTCTAGCCCGGGCAACACGAGGAGACTCAGTCTCAAAAAAAAACAAAACAAAAAAACAGTAGCTTGAAGGAGAAGCTGGTTGCAAGGAAGATATTTTTTAGATGATGATGTTTGAGATTATTTGTGGGCTGAGTGGAAGGATTCAGTGGAGAGGAAGAAATGAAAAAAATTGTATTTATTAAAAGTTTACAAAGTTCTTTCATTACTTCATCCTCAGACCAACTTTTTTTTTTTTTTCTGAGACAGAGTCTCACTCTGTTGCCCAGGCTAGAGTGCCGTGGCTTCAGCCTAGCTCACAGCAACCTCAAACTCCTGGGCTCAAGCGATCCTACTGCCTCAGCCTCCCGAGTAGCTGGGACTACAGGCATGCGCCACCATGCCCAGCTAATTTTTTCTCTGTATATATTTTTAGTTGTCCACATAATTTCTTTCTATTTTTAGTAGAGACAGGGTCTTGCTCTTGCTCAGGCTGGCCTCGAACTCCTGACCTTGAGCGATCCACCCGCCTCGGCCTCCCAGAGTGCTAGAATTAGAGGCGTGAGCCACCGCGCCCGGCCCAGACCAACTTTAAAAGACAGTATAGCCATTATTATCTTCATATTAGAGATGAGAAAGCTGAGGTATTGCCCAACCAAAGTCAAAAAGTAAATAGTTTCTTTGTGATCCTTCCCAATCTGTAGAAAAAGGACAAATAATTCATGGAGTGGAAGATGGGAAGGGATCATAGGAATGGGGTGGGAGATAAAACTTTGGGTGGCATGGCGTATTGTTTTCACTGAGAAAAAGGGAAGGGTGGAGGCAAAAAGAGTATGGAGAACTGAGAGGTGCATTAGGATGACTAAACAGGAGATTATTAAAGCCCAGGATTGTGGTTCAGAGTCAAGAGAACAAAGAAGACTTTATCTTTCCTGCTGATGGTTTCTTGTCTCAAATAGTAAGATAGATTTAGAAAGCTGCAAGAGCCCTCTCAGCTTATATTTGGAATATAGACGTTTGAGCTCTGAGCATAGATTTTAGAACTTGAGCTTTTGGGGAACAGATACCTGGCTATCTGTGTATATCTCTCTTATAAGGATTTTACCTTTATTTTGGAGAGAGACAGGGTCTCACTCTGTCACCCAGGCTGGAGTGCAGTGGCGTGATTATAGCTCATTGCAGCCTCCAACTCCTGGGCTCAAGCGATCCTCCTGCCTCAGCCTCCCAAGTGTCTAGGACTATGGACGCACACCACCATACCCAGCTAATTTAAAAAAAAAAAAATTTTAATTTTTTATAGAGACACTGTCTCCTATGTGCCCAGGCTGATCTTGAACTCCTGGGCTTAAGCAATCCTCCTCCCTGAGCCTCCCAAAGTGCTTGGATTATAGGCATGAGCCACTGTGCCCAGCCTTTAACTTTTTGATTTAAAGGGGAAAAATGTTAGCTGCTAACCCCATTGTTGGCATTTTTGCCCCCACAGGGTATTTTAGATTACCTGGATAATATGTCCCCTCAGCAAATACGAAAACTCTTCTATATTCTCAGCACACTGGCATTTAGCAAACAGCATGAAGCCAGCAGCCACATCCAGGTAAGAGGCAGTGTGTTGAGAAAGATTCTTTTAAACTTCTTTACTTAAAATTTGCTGCACAATATCTAGCAAATGATAGACTTGCTGGTTTGTGTAGTAGTGGAAATGAAATACACAGCCATAGTCCCAGCATTTTTTCGTTCTTTACTTGCCACAAACATTAAGTGCCTTCTCTGAGCCAGGCACTGAGATACTAGGTATATTAGATCTTCTGCCCTAAAGCAGCTTTATCTATTGAGGTACAGATAGGTCTGCAATCAGGTTGTGTACTTTGTGTAGTGGGAACACAGAATTCCCTTATTTCCTAAGGAACATCTGCATCTAATGTGAACTTCTTCTGGGTTTGCTTTCTTTTGTGGACACTGTTCACTAAAAAAGCCAGGCAAGGGGCCTAAAATAAGAGATTGGGTTAGAATCATAACTCATAGCTGTTTTGTATCTTTAGTGCCACCTTATGGTAGTAATCCATACTGGACTATGACTTTGAATAACCAGCACCTTTTTTTTTTTAAATTAAAAAAATGTTTTTGGCTAGGTAATATACATGTGTGGTATAAAATCCAAAATGCATAGAAGGGTGTACAGTGAAAAATCACTCTCATTCCTTCTCAATCCTCTAGGCAACTGTTTTGTCTTCCTAGAGGCACTAACTATTACTACTTTATAGCCTTCTGAGATGTTTTTAGCATTTACAAATTTGTATTTACCTGTAGTCCATCCCTTTTCCCTCTCATTCTACATTTCACTTTTTGCATTTAGTGGTGTATTTTTGGAGATTACTTCATAACAATGTAAATTTTATTTTATTTTTGAATTGTGATACAATATACATATAAAATTTACCATTTTAACCATTTTTAAGTGTAAAATTCAGTGGCATTAAGTACATTCACAATGTTATGCAACCATCACCACTCATATATCTCACATTCTGTTTATCCATTCATCCATTGATGGACACTTGAGTTGTTTCCCCCTTTTGGCCGTTTGAATAATACTGCTATGAGCATTGGTGTACAAATATTTGTTTGAGCCTGTTTTCAATTCTTTTACAGATATATACCTAGGAGTAGAATTGCTGGATCATGTGATAATTCTATGCTTAACATTTTAAGGAACTACCAAACTGTTTTCCATGGCAGCTGCACCATTTACATTCCCACCAACAATACCTAGGGGTTCCAATTTCTCCATACCCTTGCCAACACTGATTTTCCATTTTTAAGTATAACCATCCTAGTGGGCATGAAGTGGTATCTCATGCTGGTTTTGATTTGCATTTCCCTGATGACTAATGATGTTAAACATCTTTTCATGTACTTATTTGTCATTTTTGTGTCTTCATAGAAATGTCTATTCACGTCCTTTGCCCATTTTTAACTTTTTTTTTTTTTTTTAATTTTTTTTTAGAGATGAGGTCTTCCTGTGTTGCCCAGCCTGGCTTCAAACTTCTGGGCTCAAGCTATCCTCCTGTGTTAACCTCTCTAGTACCTGAGACTAAAGGCACATGGCACTATGCCTGGTCAATTTATTAAAAATTTTTTGTAGACAGGGTCTCTCTTTGTTGCCCAGGCTGGCCTTGAACTCTTGGCCTCAAGCGATCCTTCCACCTTGGCCTCTCAAGTTGCTGGGATTACAGGCATGGGCCACCACATCTGACCTTTTCTTTATATATTCTGGATATTAATCCCTTATCAGATACATGATTTGCAATTATTTTCTCCCATTCTGTGGGTTATGTTTTCAATCTCTTGATAATGTCCTTTGATACACAAAAGTATTTAGTTTTGATGACGTCCAATTTATCTATTTTTTTCTTTTGTTGCTCATGCCTTTGGTATCATACTTAAACCATTGCCAAATCCAAGGTCATGAAGGTTTTCCCCTATTTTCTTCTAAAAGAAAGTTTTTAACTCTTAAATTTAGGTCTTTTATCCACTTTGTGTTAATTTTTATATATGGTATATGGTAAGAGTTCAACTTAATTCTTTTGCATATTGATATCTAGTTTTCCCAGCACCATTTGTTGAAAAGACTGTCCTTTCACCATTGAATGATCTTGGCACCCTTGTCAAAAGTCAATTGATCACAACAAGGAAAGTTTATTTCTGGACTCTCTATTCCATTGGTCTGTGTCTCTCTTTATGCCAGTACCACACTGTTTTAATTACTGTACCTTTGTAGTAATTTTGAAATCAAAAAGTGTGAGCCCTCCAAATTTGTTCTTTTTCAAGATTGTTTTGGCTATTTGGGATCCCTTGAAATTCCGTATGAATTTTAGTATGGGCTTTCCTATTTATGCAAAAAATGTTGATGAGATTTTGATGAGGATTGCGTTGAATTGCTTTGAGTAGTATTGTCATCTTAACAATATTAAGATTTCAATCCATGAACATAGGATATCTTTTCCTTTATTTAGATCTTTAACTTTTTTCAGCAATGTTTTGTAGTTTTTTTTTTTTTTGAGACAGAGTCTCACTCTGTTGCCCTGGCCAGAGTGCAGTTGTATCAGAGTGCAGTGAGTATCGTCATAGCTCACTGCTACCTCAAACTCTTAGGCTCAAGCAATCCACCTGCCTCAGCCTCCTGAGTAGCTGGGACCACAGGTGTGTGCCACGACACCTGGCTAATTTTTGTATTTTTTTAGAGATAGGATCTCGCTTTTGCTCAGGCTGGTCTCGAACTCCTGACCTAGAATGATCCTCCCCCCTTGGCCTCCCAGAGTGTTAGGATTACAGGTATGAGCCACTGTGCTCAGCCAGTGTTTTGTAGTTTTTAATGTACAAATCTTTCATCTACTTGGTTAAAACTATACCTAAGTATTTTAGTCTATTTCACTATTTTAGTTGAGCAGCCAACAACATAATAATTCTTATGTCCTTATACAGCAACTACCACAATAATAATAGCCGCTATTATTATTAAATGTTTACCGTGTGCCAGGCACTGTTCTAGAAATTTTTTATAATTTGTCTCTAATGCTTAAAACAACCTTCCCCATTTTAAAGATGAGAAAATTGAGACTCAGAGAGATGAAATGACTTGCTAAAAGCCACACAGTTAGTAAATGATATGACCCCTTCCTAGTCTGGGTTTTTTGGCTCCAATATCCATAGGCTCTTTTGCTGTGCCATTCCAGCATCTTCATCTTTTTCCGTCATTATCTCATTGCAGGATGACATGCACCTGGTGGTACGAAAGCAGCTCTCTAGCACCATATTCAAGTACAAACTTGTTGGGATTATTGGTGCCGTCACAATGGCTGGCATCATGGCTACAGATAGGTAACATGGAGATTCTGACATTTGTGGCTCAAGATCCATTAATCAAATTGCTGCCTTACAAAATAAAGTGTTATATTGTGTACACTTTTAAAAGTAGACATTAAAATTATAAAAGTGAACAAATCTGTTTTTCTACTTTTCCATGTTCCCCTCTAATCTTGACTGTATATATCATGTAATTTCTGCAGATTTGTGAAAATAATCATTGTAGTCTGATGGTAAAAAACTTTGGATTGTCTATAGAATAAGTTCTAGGAATCTTTGCACAAAGGGGGAACCCTGATCCTCCTGGAATTCATTTTTCCGTGTCTGCTCCTGAACTAGGCACTAAACAATGCAGTTTTCCATATCGCTGAGTTATTCCTGTCTAGAACTTCACATTTGGTAAAGTTTTCCTTGTAGATTCCCCTCTTACTCTTTAATGCCTCAAATTGTAGCGTCTAAAGAAGCATCAGATTTGGGGCTTGATTAGATGTTGCCATTACAAATTGACATTGGAATTCAGTTCATCCTTCTTGGAAATTATCTGTCAGGAATTCCTGAGACCTCAGGAGGCATCTTTAGAATCAGCATTAATGATAGGAGGAGGCTGCACAGTGATACTGGTTGAGAATTCATTCACTGAAGCCACACTACTTGCTAGAGTCAAATCCTGGCTCCATTGCTTATTATAGTAACTGAATGACCTTACTGTACCTCTGTGCCTTTGTAGTCTGACGTCTGTGAAATAAGGATAATGACAGTATTTACTCTATAGAGTTATTAAGAGCATTAAATGGTTAGAACAATTCTCAGCACATAGTATGTACTAAAGAAGTGCTTACTCTTATTACTAATTTAGTGTGACCTTAAAAAATGTAAGATAGCCATCCTTTAATCTATATTTTATATGGACAAAATAAATACTTCTGTATGCCTTCATAAACTTTTATCGTCCCCTCTGCCACAGGGAAGGCAGAATTTTTAAATTTATTGTCAGTTGTTATAAAATGTTACAAAAATGAAACTAAAATTCCTTGTTTTTAGAAGTAGATCTAATTTGACCCAAGGGAGAACCGACCTGAGTAATGATCAGTGTACACAGGTGAGTTCTTGTAATGTAGTCAGATATGTTTATGAGTAACCTAGGAATTGCTTCTTGTCACTGTCAGTTCAGTAGAAAGAGTACTTCTTTTTAAAAATATTTTTTCCTCAGGGGGAGGGGCTAAATAAACGCCTCCCCCACAAATATTTTTTCCTGAACTCATAGCTTTTGTGGTTTGTATCACTCTTGTAACACTTAGAATCTTCTGGCCTGGGTTGCATTTATTTCTGTGTCTGTCTAATCCCTCTAATTAAATTGTAAATTCTTAGCAAGAAAGATGGGCAATTTGGTTGGAGCATAGAGACAATAGTGTATGATTGGAAAGTTGGATATAAAGCTAGTTCAGAGATAGAAAACACAGCGCCTTGAATGTCAAGCAAGACATTTTGATTTCATTCTTTAGGCAAAGGTAGTCCTTAAAGGTTTCTTAGCATGGAAATGGCATAATCAAAGCTTTGCTTTAGAAAAATTAATTTGGTTGCATGTATCTGATGGATTGGAAAAGGGATGAGATTGGAAGGTGATAGACTGATCAGGAGGTTCAGGAAAACCTCAGGTGAGAGGCAGAGTTTCACCAGTAAGGTTAGAAAGGGGAAAGCTTACTCTTGAATGGGGTGAATGGAGTTTAGGAAGAGTTGGCATGCTTTCTCTTTGTCTGCTCCAGGTGACCACCTTGCTCCAGTTGGTTCATTCCTGTAGTGTGCAGTCTCCTCGGGCCTCTGCACTTTATTATGATGAGTTTGCCAACCTGATCCAAGGAGGAAAGCTGGCTCCAAAAGTCCTGGTAAGGCCCATTGTCTTTGTTAAAGCCATAAAGCATGAGAGCTGCTTTGCTACACACTCTTCAAGGTCCTTATCCCTGTTGAGAGAACATCCTTTGAGGTCTCCCAAGTTCTAGTTGGGAAGGCTATTCTGCTCCACCCTGCCTCAGGGCTCTTCTCCAAGGCCTCCTTCACATAATAATAGTAATGAGGAGAAGGATGGTGGTGGTGGTGATGTTGATAGCCACAATCTATTTGGGAGCCCTATCTCACGCCAGGCATTGTGCTAAGCACTTTTCATGCATTATCTCTTCTGTACTTCACAACAATGAGCTATGTATTATTGTTATTTCCTTCTTTAGAAATGAGGGAACTGGCCAGGTGAGGTGGCTCATGCCTGTAATCCTAGCACTCTGGGAGGTCAAAGCGGGAGGATCACTTGAGCTCAGGAGTTTGAGACCAGCCTGAGCAAGAGTGAGACCCTGTCTCTACTAAAAATAGAAAAATTAGCCAGGTGTTGTGGTGTGGGCCTGTAGTCCCAGCTACTCAGGAGGCTGAAGCAGGAGGATCCCTTGAGCCCAGAAGTTTGAGGTTGCCGTGAGTGATGCCACTGTACTCTAGCCAGAGTGACAGAGTGAGACTCTGCCTCAAAAAAGAAAGAAAGAAAGAAATGAGGGAACTGAGGCTTAGAAAGGTTAACAGTGATTTATCTAGGGCTCTATGAAAAGTATACGCTGGGCTACACTGCCTTTTTTGTTTGTTTGATTCCTGAAGGAATGGGTTGAGCAGACCGTCTTTAATGATTTCCAAGACGCCTTTGTGGTAGACTTCTGTGTTCCAGAAGGGTAAGTACTGTTTACCTGCTGGCTTGGTTGTACTGGTGAAGAAGTTATGTCAATCTGTCAGTAGCTGATACAAACTTCATAATACCCTTGACCTCAGTCAAGTCCACGCACTCCCACAGCCTCTTCCCACCCAACCCCAGCACCCCTGTACCTGCAGCTTCAGAATCGCTAAAAGGCTTCCTCCTTGTTCTTTCTCCTGTCTCTAATTTCGCCCTATAATATTATAGTTTTGTTTGAAAGTGGTTTGTTCTAGTGGTTTCCCCCATCACCTTGCTTACCCCTGCGCTAGGACATCAGATTCTGGGTTCTCTCCACAGTGACTTTTCATTTCCTGTGAAAGCTCTCTACGGACTGGAAGAATGCAATACTGGTGACGGGATCGTCATCAACCTCCTGCCACTGTTGTTCTCTCAGGACTTTGCAGAAGATGAGGGTCGCGTGACTTCACAGGAACCAGGCCAAAAGTCAGTACAGTTTTTCTTTTCTAAAATCTGTTAGTGTTTTGAATGTTCACAGGAAGTTCGACAGTTTTTTCAATCTGTTGGGAACTTGAGTCAGAAAGATTTCTCCCAAAACAGGTGGTATTTTGAGGGGTCAGAGAGAATGAGATAGAGTCTTTGTTTTTTCCTGGACTCTGGGGTTGAGATTTATATTTCTTCGTGACAGCCAACAGATATTCTGTGAAGCTATTTTCTTTTTGGTTTTTATCCCTTGCTTTCCCTCCTGTAAACATCCTTGGCTACCTTTGTCCCTCTCACCTTCTCCTTCCATCTTACTTTTTGCTTCTCCTATCACATAGACGTCCACTCCATATACCTCCTGCCTTCTATGATTCAGTTCGTTATATATTTACTGAATATCCATTAAGTTCCTTGCCATTTGTTCTCAAAAGTAGACATTAATATTTTGGGGAAAACAATGGGTTCTCTATAAACATGGTATAATATGCCTGTAAAGTGTGGCCTAGAAATGGATTTTTCCTTCCCAGATTGATGTCTCCTTTGTGCCTGGCTCCCCATTTCCGGTTGCTGAGACTTTGTGTGGAGAGACAACATGATGGAAACTTGGAGGAGATTGATGGTCTATTAGGTATAGGATGAAGTCATCAGATCCCTTCTTTTTAGTGACCTTTCTTTTATAAACTTAGGGAAGGGGCAGACCAGTACATGGTATGTGTGGGACAGTTTTCTAACTTTAACAGAGTAGTATCGTCTTGGAATAATGGAATTACAAAGACAAAATAGTACATACAGAATCCCATTATGTTAACAAATCAATTGTTACACTTCCATGTTGCTTCCTGACCCTTGCCTCTATAGTTGTTGCAAAAACTTCCTAATTATATATGTTGATTGCTGTATAATATGGAAGTATTTTAATCACATCTTAACCCTCAAATATGAGTTTATGGGGAAAGGAAGTAGCAAGGAGAGCTATCTCCAGGGGCAGCATCAGGTTCTATTGGCTCGGATGAGGAGGAGTCGGAAATGTTTGTTTTTCCCTCTCAGATTGTCCTGTGTTTCTCACTGACCTGGAGCCTGGCGAGAGGCTGAAGTCCATGTCTGCTAAAGAGCATTCATTCATGTGTTCACTCATATTTCTTACTGTCAACTGGTTTCGAGAGGTGAGAAGAGTTACTAGGACTTTTTCACCTATTGTCCGTAGTTTCTCTCAAAAGAAAACTACTTTCCTGGTTCCCACAGGCTCCCTAAAATATTTCCACCAAGCACTAACCCCCATGTGCTTCTCTTGCTGTTATGTCCCTTAACTCCCCAATTATATGTATCTCCTGATGTAGCCAAATCAGAATACTTAGAATTCACTTTATGGTGTCCCTACTTTACTTCCTCCAAGCCTTCTTGTCATATTCTTCTGCCTAGAATAAACTCCTCACCTTCACCCTATGGAAATACTGCTCATGCTAGCACAGGCATGCACTTACCTTTTGATTCAGTGAGGTGAGTGAGTGGTAGTTTCCCTTCCTTAGAACATATTTGTGCTTAACAATAATAACAACAATGATGTCAACATCTTACATCTCTTTCTCACTGCCTTCCTCTCACATGTCATTCAGAGAATGTGCACTTGAATGAGCTTATTTGATCCTCATAGTTCTATTGGGCAGAACAGGTATTTTCCTTGTTTTACACATATAGAATTTCAAGTACAGAGATTTCAAAATCGTGAAGATTTATTAAGCACTTATACTGTGCTAGGTATAATAAGAATGTACCCCACTGTGCTGGACTAATTTTTTTATTTATACTCTTTAATTGATATAACTACATTCTCATTTTGTAGTTGAAGAAGTAAAAGCTCACAAAGGTTAAAGACTCGGCCAAGGTCACACAACTAGTAAAGTAGCAGAATAGGGTTTGCTTTAACAAAGTATGTGCTCTCTAGCTATTGCACCTTGTTACATAACTAGTAATAAGTAGAACTAAGATTAAAAGTCAGATCTCCTGTTTTTTGGCCTAGCTATTTTTTTTTTCCTCTACACCACCTTAGTGAGAACACTTTTATATTACAGACTAAACTCACAGATCCTGTTGCTTAGTGGCATCTTTCTGCTTTGGATGAATAATGCAAACAAAGTTAAAATCTGAACATTTCAAAGCATGAGAACATAATTTGTACTTCAGGTTGTGAATGCCTTCTGCCAGCAAACATCACCTGAGATGAAGGGGAAGGTGCTCACCCGGTTGAAGCACATTGTAGAACTACAGAAAATCCTGGAAAAATATTTGGCTGGTAAGGGAAGTGTCCCATGCTGGTAGCCCTACTAGGTCAGTGGTGAGAAGATAAAGAGCTTTTAAGCCAGGCTCAATAATAGCTGTCCCCTACTCCTCTGGGTCAAAGAAAATGAATGCTAAACAAAGTTTTTAGTGAATAGGTTCATTTTGCTCCTGTTGTTGCCTCTAAGAATTCTTGCTGCTTAAGAAAATAAAAATTATGGAGCCTCCTTCATGCTCACCTACAATAATTGACTGTAAAACAAACTGCTATGTGACCAAATATTGTTAATATCTTTAGATTTTAAATGTAGGTTTATTTATTTTTAGTCCTTATGTGCTTAGTTATTTTATATCATTATTTAGAATGTTTTTATATTAATTTATCCTAATCAATTAATATGATATTCCCATAAATTATCCCTGACCATTTTGCTATGCGAAAACAACATCAGATGATTTGACTGTATCTTACAAACATTCAGCCACTCTTTGTAATTTTAGAAACTAGTTTTTAGCCAAGTTAGTGATTACCATTGAAGTCTAATGGTGGTATGTGATTGGTATACAATGAGTTTCTGTCTGCTTTCTGTTTCAGTCACCCCAGACTATGTCCCTCCTCTTGCAAACTTTGACTTAGAAACTTTAGATGTAACACCTCATAGCAGTACTGCTGGTTCAGCAAAAATCAGAAAAAAAGGAAAGATAGGTGAGTATGTTATTTTCTTATTATCACTATCTCCATATGAGCCACATTAAATTAACCTAAAAGGTTAAATGAATTAAGGCATTAGTCAATGGAGAGGTTATATAATTGAACCCTTTCTTTAGCAGGGTTATAAATATGCTATAATTTAGAGTTATAAAATTACCATTTTTACCTCCAGGTAGTCTTCAATGGGTTTCCTGAGGGCAGTGATATTTGACAAACATGATTATTGATTACTTGAGTCACTTTTCTCCTTTTGAAATATAAGGAGGAAGGAAGCGAAAAGCAGATGGCAGCAAAACATCCTCTCCTGACACACTTTCAAAAGAAGATAATTCAGAATGCGACCCTACACCATCTGATAAAAGCCAGCTGAACAAGGTACTGAAATGACAGGTGACCATGAAGGTTACAGCCCACTGAGATTAACAGAGGGCCAACTTTATTCTCTGAATTTTACAAAGAGAAAAATTAGGGACTAGAGAGTCAGGTGAACTCTACTAAGCCTTGGAGTGACCCTCTTAGTAGCAAGATTTGGATTAGACTCTAAGACCTTATTCCCATCACATACTGTAAATTGTTTTTTGTAACTATTATCTTGAAGATTTTACTCCCTTTATTGCACTCCAGAGTACTTTCAATTCTCTCTTGTAGCAATTATCAAATTCTGTCTTAAGACATAGTTTTATATACACTTCTTTTAGCCTTTCTCCCCTGTGATGCCAGAATATCAAGTTCTCAGTAAATCAAGATAACATGAAATGCTTAGTACAGTTTCTGGTACTTGATTAACAGTAGTTCCCTTTTCCTGTAACTTTGTACCTAAATAGGTTTTATATATTTGAGAAATTGCCTAGGCCATGTGAATCCCAATA